TATTAAAGACCTCTATTTCCTTTTTACAATTACTTCAACTTGAATAAATTGAGGATTTCTTTTTGAGATGAAGATCATTCTTGAGCACAGAGATTAATGTTAAATCTTTGATCCTGCAGGTCACCTGATGTCTGAGGCATTTGCAGTAAAAGTTATGTCCCTTGCATGCCTGGGTAGAATCCTCAGGATTTCTACACACAAGGTAGAACCTGTATGGCACCAGTCCTGTGAACTCTTGTGGTACCACTGAGATAATCTCTTTGGTATGTCTCCATTCCTTTATTTTTCAGACTTTCATTATGAGGAGTAGTGTGAGATGTCATTCAGTCCCCAGCAATGCCTGTGTGGACATATCTGAGTGCATCAGTAACCTCACGCTCAAATGGAAGACCACAGTACTTTGATCTGGATCTAATAAACTTTCCAGTATTTCTGCAGGACTCAGGGAAGACTCCATCTGTACTGGTAGGAGTTCAGCTGGTCTGACTTTGTCCAACGCTTGTCCCTGCAAGAGGACAACGGTTAAACCAGCTGTGAGATTTCAGTGCAAAGGTAGATCTCGAGCAGAATTTCTGTCCCATTTCCTTCAGCGGAGGAGGCTGTGGGAGAGAAGCTGCTGTTTGACTGATGTAGGTAAATTTGAAGACGAGTGGCTGCTACCCTTTCTGTTTGCATCTTTTCCCAGATGCTTTTTTTGTGTTCCCTGATTCTCTTATTCTGTAGGGCTAACACACAATTACTTATTTGATGGTCTTACTGCCTGTAAGGTAACTGGATTGGTTGGACTCCCTTTCCTTTAGGGGGAAGGAGTGCAACCAAGCAGGCCCTCCCAGCAGCACCCTTCATGGCTCAAGAGGCATGCAAGCACCAGAATTGAATTAATTCCAGATAACCCATCTTAAGGCCAAAACAAAAACTTGTCAAAACAAACCAAAAAAGCAAGTACTTTTCCTTTCATTAATGCTGCATTTCCCCTGCTTGGAGCTGGTTCATTAAACTGAAAATTGCTCAAAACAGGCATCTCTGTAAAGAATGCTTGGAGCAAAATTAATTAGTTCTGCTAGGTTAGTAATGCACCTTGCTTGGACCGAAATTGAAATTATTTTTTCAATAAAGCCACGACACTTTTTATCAGAATTGTCATTAGTTGTAGGAAATAGGAGTGTGAGGGAAGAATTTGTCAAGTCTAATTTATTTATACAGTGACCCTAAAAATTACTCATTTGCCTCATGAGATGCAGCAGGATTTAAAGTAATATCTGAACATCACCTGAGCAGTGCTGATGTCCTGATGTCTGTATCCAGTCTGAGGAATTTTAAAGCCATCCTTTCATCTTGTTAAGCAATAGATGGGTAAATCATGCCTAAGGGCATTCATAAGATGTTGAAAAAAATCTTAATCTGACCATGGTCATGTTTGCTGTTCTTTTTTTTTAATCTAGATTCATGTCCATTTTTAAGTTGCAGTACAGTTTGGAGAAGAGCTTTATTTTGTAAGAACTGTTTGTGAGGAGTGATCCACTGAGAAATTTTAATTCTGCAGCTGTTTCTTTGGTACTTTAAGTGGCTGGGTTTGATACTTTTGAGTGGCTAAGGCAAAACACAACTGCAAGGTCGGATGAGTAAATCTTCTTAAGAATTGTTTTTTTGTTCCGGCAGTGGATACTCTCAGAAAACTCTGAGTGCCACAGAATTGCCCATCACAGAAACTAGGTTACAGGGAGCTCATGGAGACAACACCCTGCTAGGTATTTAAAGCAGTTCATAAGTTTCCAGCTGATGTACTGAGAATTTTGGCTGGAATTTCCAAATAGATTCACTTAATGGTCAGTGCTTGCTTCTGGTAGCATTCCTAAGTATTTTTTTTTAAATGAAAAATGAGGATATATGGAACATATAATGTGTGATAACATCACTTTAGTGTCATCCCGTGAGAATATTGTCAAATTTCTAATTCTGACTGCAGTTCAGCCTTATCCTGGTTGTCTGGTTCCCTCTGTGAATAATTGAGATGTTGCTGTTGCATTTTCAACAGAAACAGCATGGTTTGGGTTTTGGGGGGAGGGGTTTTTTTTGTTTTTCTGAAAGACAGCTTTTCATGATTTCTTCCAATCAACTCTCATGGCATCCTGACTGTGTCTTCCTGCTTTGTTTGGTTTTTTGTAATCCTCTCCTTTTAGGTAGATCCTGGTGCTGAATTATCCTTTTCTTGCATGGCATTCTGCCAAACACAGAAATATGGGAATAATAGGGACAGTAAGTATCCAAAGTATTTATCACTTTGGACAATTTTATTCCAGCTGGAGTCCCTAATTTCCTCTTTTTTCCCATCTTACTGCTAATCTCTTATTTTGTTGATTGATATGTTCATTAGACTATGGTGAGGCTGTCCCCCTTTTTTACTTCCTCCTGCACAGAGAACATTTCTGCTGCAATATGTTATTTTTATGCTGTTGATCTCTCTCTCAGTAACTAATGTCTTTTTAATGTATTTAGATTTCTTTCATGGTACCAGATCCATGAAAGGAATAAACACTGTTTCCTCATTCCACTTTTACTATCACACTTCTGAAATTATTCACCCAGTTGAAAGTATCAAATTCCTTAACTTAAAAATCATGTTCACTGTGTAGGTTTAGATGTCCCATCAGTCTGACAGGATATTTCTCTTCATGGGTGACTCCATGGGACCAAAGGTACGGCCTGAGCCATGTCTGCGCAGCCTGAACTTTGTGGGAAAAGTGTTTTTCCTGTGTTTTCTGTCCACAGAGGTGGAGGAATTACCATCCAGAATTCCCTATGTACCTGTCTAATCACACAGTAGCTGAGGAGTTACAGGTGATGTGATAACAGTCAGTATAAAGATATTCCAAGGGTTTTTCTGGTGATTGCTGTTCCCTTCTCCTGCTCCAGCTTGGCAGCACCACATGCATGAAATGGAACACTTGTTTTAGTGTGATAGGAGACCTATCCCAGGGTTTATCTGCTGTATTAAAGCCAGTGTGTCCAGCCTGGTGTCTGAGCTCAGGGTACAGCTAACACAAGGGAGGGAACAGTTTGTTTGGGGTTCAAGGGCTGGCTGCAGGAAGGGGCAGAACTGTGTGAGGAGCTGATTTTGGGAGGGAGCATGGGTACTTTGGATGAGCTGAGTGATTTCTGATTTAAAGATTTTGAAAAGTCTGTTTTCTCATTTAAAGGATTTACTACCAGTGGTGCTAATTTTCAGTATTATTTTTCCTGAAATGGAGTTTAATTCAGTAGTTCTGAAGGTATGCGGACAAGACTCTGCTACATCTCTATCAAGTGACTTCTAATTTTCTGTAAACATTTTACAGCTATATTCTCACCCAATCTGTCCAGTTGCTGTGGTGCCAACACCTTGCCTCGTGGTGCAGCAGGTGTTTCGTGAGGCAGGCAGCAATTTCAACCTGCTCCCACTTCACACCACAGGCCCTGACAGCCCTGCTCCTCCTTTGTCACAGCAGGCTCTCTTCTTGTCTCCAGATTGATGTATCCATTTAATTAATGGCTTTGGGAGGGTGTTTGGGTCCACAGATGATGACAGGAAATAGGAATTTGAGGGGGGGCACTATGTGGGAGCTCCTCTGCTCTTGTCCCACTCGCCGTTTGTTGCAAAGCGGTTATAACTGATGTTAATTTAAGGCACTTGGCACAGGATTTGAAAAGGGAATACGTGCACTTGGCAAGCACTAGTTCTTGGAAATCTTGCTGCAGAGTAAAAGAAACAGTAACTCTGAGACAAATCTATTTATTTGACACAAACTGCCTCCATGAGAATTTTCTTAATACAATCTCTTCAGCAAATGCCGTTTTGTTTGTTTTATAGTATTTTGCCTTTGAATGGCTTAGTGTCTTTTGCAGAAGTGTATTGTGTTTAGGACTGCTTGACAGAGGTTAATCCTGGAGGAAGATATCAGGTCTGCTTTTCCTGTGGGTTGGGGAGGCGATAGAAACGAGAAAGGAATTAAAAGTCTTTAAAAACAGGGCATAAACTAAAAGAAAATAGTCTGACATAAAAAGTTGTGCTAACTAGGGAAACTGGGAAACATCAGAAACTATGATCCCTTGTATCATATGGGTCAGAAATGTAGAACATTTTTGTCAAATCAAATGTAATATTAATTGTTACTTTTAATTGTTACTTTGACAGTGAAGGTAAATAAATTGCTTATGACTCATTACTCACTTGCTAGAAAATGTACTGATTGTGGAAAAAATCTTAGGTGATGAGTGGGGGGATTGTTGAAAATGTTTCCATGTTGGGGGTGATTGACATCCTTCAAAAACTGAGCCTTTTTAAATGGACTTTTGCACTGGGAGTATTAAGTGAATAATTAATTAAGTGGATAATTCACATTTACTCCTAATAAACTGTAATTGATGTGTAACATGTGAAGTATGTGTTCTAAATATCAAGCAAGAATAATAGCAAGCCAAAGTTATCACAAGTAACTAGCCAAGCTCTGTGTTTGAGGAAGGAGAGCTAAAAAGGTTAACAAAAACCTGTAAATGCAGTTTTGCCTTTACAGTGGGAACTGAGCAACATTACTTGGTAAATGGTGAGTTCTAGCTGTTCCTATTGGGAAAATATGTATATGTAGACTAACCAAAAAATCCTAGCTATCAACAGGTAATTCTGAACTTCTAGTCTGACTTCAACCACTGCCAATTGCTGTAGCCAGGGGGAATCAATCATTCAACATTCATTGCTCACAAATGGCATTTAGACCCCTCAAAGAGATAATGAAAGTCAGTGGCATCTTAGAGTATTTTCAAGAGCATAGAAAAGGGGGGTAGTGGTGCTGATACAGAAGAGTAAAAGTGAATGAAATCAATACAGGAGACTGGGAGTTCAACAGCATCCAGAAAAAGCACATTCATGTGAACCAGTACATTGCTGAACACAAAGAGCTCTGAGAATCTGTTGGAGTGTTTATTTACAAAATTCAATATATCTGTGTTACATTTATCCTTGACAGGTATTGTTTTAAGCATGTGGTACCTTACTGCCTACTTCTGATCAGGATCGTCTTGGAAACTCAGCAGAAAAGCTCAGCGTTTGTCAGGGAGGAGTAAGAAAGTATACAGGATCATCTCGGCTCCAGCAGGGGTCACCTGCTCTTTGTTCTGGGCATCGTTCTCACAAAAGCTCCTTTGCACTGGGTTTTCCTCATGCTTCTCCATGCAGGAAAGTGTCCGTGGAGCAGCACATCCTGGGCCAGTAATAAGTTTCCTTACAATACTGAGCAAACATGCCAGGTTCTGTCAAATCACCATAAACTGATTACCTTGGCTTTGCACACTGTTTTGGCATAAAGAGTACTCCACACTGTTTTTCACATAGATTGTTCTTGCTGACAAAGTACCATGGAAAATTACTATTTACCCCATTGTCTGTCAACTGATAGGTATGAAAAAGAAACTACAGATCAATGTTCCTCCACTACTCAGTATTCCTCTGTAGTGCTGCTTAGGGATGTCGTTTTACTGTGTGTTGATGATGGTTGAAGTCAAGAACCAAATACTTAATAAGGATTTAATTACAGTAGTTAGTTATTTAAACATTTCTGGGACGCATTATTATAATTAATTACAGTTATTAATTACAGGGCTCGGTGCTTGGCTTGGAAAGCTGTGTGCTGCTAAGGTCTCCAGACCTTCTCCATCAGCCTGTGAGTTCTGGGGTTTTAGGGATGATGGGCTCTCCTGGGACAAGCACTGTCTCCCTACTGCCCTTTGTGATTGCTTGCTGTCGTGTCTTCCTATTCCCAGGGTGGCTTGTGCAACCCCTGGGGAAAGGAGAGGGAGTGGGGCAGGAGGCAAAAGGGCTTGTTTGCCCTCCAAGGCGAGCTGAATGCCCAGGGCAAGGCAGAAGGAATGCACGTCTGCCAAATTTACAGGGCTGTTCCAGCACATGGAAGTTCTTGGGAGGCTTCAGTGAGAAGTACTAAGACCACCAAACAAACTGGTTTTCTCAATTCATTTTTTCAGTGCACAATAGTTCTGATATTCCCTTTGGAGCCCAGTTGTAATGAAACTGTAACCTGTAACTTAAAGAGTATTAAATATGCCAGAATTCACTTTTAATCTACTTTGATTGCTGTTGGAAGGATATTCTACATCCTACTAGATATATGAAAGTGTTTGTTAGCTTACTATCAAGTAGTTGTTTCTGTGGAGTAAAATCAGCTCTTTAAAACTTGAGCTTAACCCTGGTCCCATTTCTTGAAATGAGAAAGTTTTCATGATCTTGTTTTCAAACCTACCTTTTTAAAATCATTTGTACTCCTAAGAAAAGGATGGAGATACTTTGACAGTCTACTTTTACTTCATGCAATCACTATAGTTTTTGAGATAGAATTTTTTTTGATGAAGAATCTTTTCTGGACAAAAATTGTTTTCAGACAGACAAGCTTTTCACGCTCTAGAGGTCCTCCAAATCGTACCTTGTTTCCCAAGATTTTAAATGTTTTTCTTTAAACAGTGTCAATATCTCGCACAGTTGATATTTTTAAGACCAATCAGAGCTATTTGGGCAGAGTTTGGGCACATAATACCTTGTGAAAGCCCCATGCCAGCCTTGCTGGGGTTTCATAGTTGTTTTCTAGGAGCAAATGACCTGTTGTTGTGATATCCCAAACTTGGGATTCATTCATTTACTAACAGAGGTTCACAGTGCTGTGCTGTGATCCTACAAAGACACAGGCACCGCTGATATTTCTAAAAAGTCATTCCTGTTGTGTTTCGTAGGAAATTAATTTTGATTGACAGCTTTAAGAAGGTCACATTCACTTAATTAGGAGTTGTATTCAGGCCTTCTACTGTTGTTTTATAAAGATTACTCACATTTTTGTGCAGTTTAAAGGTTTCTGTTTTCTCAGAAAACTTAAGATGCAGCAAAAAGACAGAACCAATTATCTATCAAGCACTTGCATAATCCTAAAATATTCCTCTCTGTAAGTATATAATGACAGTGTGCACTTTTAAATAAATTCTTCTAGCAGTAACAAAGCTGGGGATTTGATAAGTCTCACAGGCCAATTTCAAGTGAGCAGAAAGAGACAATTTGTCACAGTCAAGTGATCTTAGGACCTGCTGTCTTTATTTTTTTAAAATATGAAATATAAAAATTTAATGCTGTAATTTTATGGAGATGTTCCTAACTCAATTCATAGGGATTTAAAAACAGTAAAGTAGCAGTGTATAATCGTTTTTGTGAGAACAGTTTTGAAGTCAACCCACCTACATCTAAATAACTACCAGTCTGTAGAAGTTAGGGGAAAACATAGACATAAGTGCATGAAAAAAAATCTTTGGTTATTTTATACATCTGAGCTCAAAGTTCTTGAATTTTTTTTTCTCCCTCTTCTCTCTATATAATGGACTCTGGGTTGCACCTGGTTTACTCGTATCAAACTCACAAGAATTTGGGTTGTAGAGGATGATTTTTGGCTTCCCATTGGACTTTTTAAGTTGCTTTTTCCAGTCTCCCAACTTCATTTGTATGCTTTGCACAGGGACACCAAGCGTGGTCTGAGTAGGATTTTTGACAGAGTTAATGAACATGGTTGTCCTGCTCTTTATGCCTTTTAGGCAGTGGAAATGTTCTGCAACTGCTAAGCCACTATAAATAATGCAGGCAGTAAATAAATGGCAAATAAAGATTTTGGAGTAAATATAGTAGCATGATTAACCTTTTACATTTGCTGATACAGACGGTGAAAATGGGCAAATTGAATTTGAAGCAAACCTGTGCTCCCCTGTCAGATCCCTGATCCTCCCTTCCTGAGGCTGGGATTTGGGGGGACACTCACCCCCCTCACCTGCCAGCACCTGCATGCATCCCTTGGCTCTACAACTCCCACAAACCTTCGTGACATATTTCTGTGGTTCTTTTCAGTGGCCCTGAAATGAGTCACAGGATGTAAAGCCTGAGTGGTGTTGGGGGAGAGGGAGTGTTTATTTTCATGGATAAAAGGGAAGTATGTTCTGTAGAAGTGATTTGGCCTGAATAGGAAAGTGCAAAGTTTCTACTTAGAAGTGATTTGTTTTTCCTCCTATTGATGTACTTTTGTCCTAAACTTTTAACCTTAATTTATAGCAAGAAAAGTGACTTCTTATATTCCTGTAGTTCTTCCAGTCCAGCTTGCATGCTGGCAAGTGAGCCATGGCACCCATATATCCTAAGCAATTGGGTTTCCTTGTCCAGCGTAGCACTTCCAGTAAAAGCCCTCTACAAGAACTGGGTGCTGATCATGTCACCCAGTGCTTTACAAGGCTCTGTATTTTCTGTGTCTAAGCAAGTATTCAAATGTTGTCTTACTAAGTGGTTTTTTAATCATAGTATCTGGTGTGGAAACCACTATTAGGACCTGGCTGTGTTGCTTTGCCCGTTCCTTATTGACAGCAGCAAGCATGAGTGGGCAAACTTTGGTTTCTGGAATGATTTAGCATTACTGCATCATACTGTGCAATATCTTTATCTGCTTCAAGTAAATGAAGAGTGGCTTCAGTGAAGCTTCTAGATTTGATACTGTAGAGAAATGTCAACAGTTACAGTGCAGTGTGGCCAGATGTCATTTGTTTGACATAATGGTATTGCACTGATGACTCACTTATTACCTGCAGCTACTTACAGCTGAAAGAGAGAGGACTCATAATGTCTTTTCATTATATGATGAGAGAAAAGGTGAGTCTTGTGTCAGGTTGTTGACTTTCCTCAAAGAAATGGAGTGCAAAAATCCAGCATGAGCTGATGAAAGACAAAGTATTCTATAGGAGAAAAAAAAGGTAAAGTGTGAAAAATACCTAACTATCCTGAAATTGGGTGAAATGGAAGAAGATAGTTTCATGTGGATTTCTTTAACTATGTTTTATGTGGATTTCTTCACCTTTCCTTAAAAAACCAAAGAAGCCTCTCTCTCACTCTCTGTTCACAGCAGCACAGTAGCAATGTTACAGTGAGTAGTGTGTTATTTATGGCTTTCCTGGTAGGCAAACAGTGCACATTCTGCTGCTTTTATGTAGTCCCTTCTATTGCAGTTTATGAAGAAATGGAATTATCTTGGGAGTCAGAAATGGATAATTAGCATCAACAACAAAATGCAATTATACTTGGAAAATTAAGCTATTTGGAGAAGATTGGGTTCTTTAAGTCATGGACTAATTTCAACCAAAAGAGGGCTACAGAATGTGGATTCCAATCTTATATTAGTTATCCTTTTCCCGACTTCCCAGAGCAATTGATGGTAGCTGCAAAATTTACATATAGCCTTTGAATTCTTGCCAAGCAGAATTGTCTGCATACAGAAATTAAATGAGGCTCCATTTCTGTGTTAAAATACTGACTAAACGTGGAAAGGAATTTATTGAATTAATCCATGTCAAGCCTTTGGTTTAGTCTTTTCTGTTTTCACATTTCATTATTCTTGAAAGCTTTTTCACCCCCTTTATTACTCTGTTCCAGATTATCTGCAATTCCTTTCTATGTGAAGTCTTCCACCAAATGCCTGTTTTTTGCATTAGTACATTGTCCAAATCACTAATGGAAATATTAAATAGCGTTGACTACAGGTGGAGTTGCACCTGAACTGCACTTGATTAACACTTGCAGAGGGTAGGCTTCCAGTTGGGTGTGTGCAGCTGCATTCTCACGGTGACATTGATAGTGTCCCTTGGTATTTATGAGAACATCACGTTGGGGTAACATTGAGGAGCAGGGGGGGACTTTAGGCTGGGCACCATGAAACTGAGAGCTCCTTCCAGGAAAGAAAATGGGACTGATTTGGTGTTACACAGCTGCTTGTTCGTAGCTGCCTTAAAGCAGTGTGCAAAGGCCTGCAACTTCAAAATATTCTGGAAAGTTAAGCTTACTCACCTTATTTATTTTGGGATGTGGCTGGTGAAGTTAGGGAGTTAAAGATGAAGAGAAAGTTTCATGTAGTGTTTTATATCAAGTGCAGCGGCTTAGAGCAGGACCATCAGGTGACTTGGACAAAACTAACTTAGTAAATATTCTTCAAATGATTCTTCTTGTGCAGGTGAGTAAAGCAACACAATCAGACCCTGTCCTTCCATGGGTGAGGGTCTTTATCCCTGATCCAGCACAGCATTTTAACTGTCCCTAGTGAATATCCCTCTGAAGTTAGAGAAGCTTTATCCTGCTAGAGGTGAATGCAGTCCTTGTGCACCACTGCCAGTCCTAGAATTATGAAAGGTGTT